TCATCATTCGTTACAATCGTTTTTTCACACCACAGAATAGTCTAATATATTATCATCTTCAATCGCATTGTCTGTAAAATAACAATTATCATTAATAAAAACATTGTCGGTTATTATTATGGCATTATACAGGGAATCTGGTTTTTGCAAGCTCACACAGTGTTGAGTGCGTTTTGTGGGTCTACCCATTATTAAAGAGCGAAATTTTTTCGTTTTAGAGATCATATTTATCCAAAGTTCATGTGATACAAATTTCCATTTTTGTTAAGGCTTAAGAAATTAAGATAAATTTTACCAGAAAAGGCGGTTTCAAATTTCTGCTCACTATATAAATTAACTAAACTTTGAACAGTTATATCTCAAACCATGTAGCATTTGTCAATTTTCTAAACATAATTTGTTAACATTTATCAAGAAGAACAAAATGGCGTTCTTAAATTTTAAATTATTAATACAGTAACGCTTGTATTATTGTTTGAAATGCATCGATTTTTGTTTGATGCGTACTTGTGTCCCCCACCATACTACATAGGCACTCCTGTGTCCGACTTAACGAGATATCCGACTTTATCATAATAATAAATAATAAACGTACTTTTTATTTGCATATTATGAGTTAATACAAACTGTTTTAAAATGTAAATATAATAGATAATAAAAAGTTCTAAGGTAGGCTGTTTTAGAGAAGCGATTCGCTTTCTTTGAATTTGACACTGAAGGTCTTTTATTTCCGAGATTACCGATGCATTTGTTTTTTCTACGTTCATAATTGCAGTTTGGTTGTAAATTGGAATGCGTTTTTGAGCAATTGACTATGTCAACCTTTTTATTGTCTTTCTGAACGATTAAGACAATTGTATCAATGTATTACAAATGATATATTACGATAAATGATGACATAAGATAATAAAATATTGTTTAGATGCTAAATAATGACGCAATTATTTTGTTACGTTACTAAAATAGTAAAGATCAACCGTAAAAATCACGTAGTCCGACTTATTGAGAGTCCGAGTTACGACTTATCGCGATTTTATATGTGTCGTCCAACTTATCGAAAATTTTTAACTATTCAAAAAAGGGGTCGAAAATTTTTGTCCGAGTTAAGCCAAATCCGACTTATCGAGCGTTCGACTTATCGAGCTTGCCTATTACTATGTGTAATTAAAATTACTAATTTACGCGATTTTGTCTCTAAAAATGCTAATACTTTATACAATACCTGTCTATTTGCATATTGTATATTTGCATAATCTGTTCATTTGCATAAGTGGTCTTGGCCCCATGTTGGGGGACTTACGGCTATAGGATAAAAAGAAAGATCAACAAGAATGTCTTTATTTTCTTGTTTCATAGACTCTGAATAGATTTTGTCCATTGCTTTCTTTACACTAGTCAACTTTTCAACTTCATCAGAACAGTCTCTAGGTTGTTGCGACAAATATTTGTAGGGCTTCTAACCCTTCTTTATACAGAGATAACAGGCAACCTGTTCATTATCTTCTAGCATAACGTCTATATAAAATTATATCACATGTTAAGTATATGATAATGTGAATACGCATCTTCTCTATTTGCGTAAAAATCCAATAGATGCGACTGTATTCACTTTTATATTACTTTTAACTAACAATAAAAGATTCCTAATTTCGGAATTAGAGACTTGCCATACAGTTATTCGCGAGCTAATAGACTATTCCCTTCCTGTGGAAGCCCATAGCGTGGGGGTGCAAATAATTGATATAGGGATTGGTGATTTCCAACTACTCCCTAAATGCACACCTCGGGACTGAGAGTGCATTTAGAGAACAATGCAAGTTGGTGCACTTACGGAGTGGTAACACACGTTTTACGTTACGTGTACTATAATTCGCCGCACGTCCTTAATACATTCTTGCTTACGGGCGGGGGGGGCGTAGCCACTCCTCCCCCCGCCCGCAGAAACTCCATATAAAGTTATGAAGGACCGGTCGTCGGTCGTTTTTGTCGCGTTTTTTGTACCGTTTTTTCTTCCTTTACCTTCCTTTTTAGAGTAATTGACATTGCATTAATCTTCCTTTCTCTAACATACAGTATCTCTCTAGAATATTGGTAAACTACATTTACTTTATAGTAATGCTTATGTTTTGTCTGATGTTTGTGTTGAATTGAAATATGACCTAGTCACCGCTTGCTTGAAACCAAATGGTACAAAATAACCTTCCAATGGTCTTTTATTGATTTAACTTTCGGCAACAGTATGACATACTGACCGATTTTTATCTAACTTTACGCTTACCTGATGTATGACAATACAATGTCTGCTTGCTAAATTTATACTTAAGATCACGTGCGTGCATTTAAAGAGTTAAATTCTCATATAGGCAAAAGTTTCGTTTTTGATATATCAGGAGTTCCGTTTTTGATAGATCGGCAAGTACCCCCCAAATTTAGGTTCCGTTTTTGATATATCCGCAGTTTTTATTATTGCCCGAGGTTTATCCGTTGCGTTATTATTAGCTAATTATGACTATATTCAAATCGATCCATGATGTCAGACATTGACCATAGCTCATTTATGATATTATTTCTTTCCCAAGTATAATGAATACCATTCGGCTGCTCGGCCGAAAGGAATCGAAACAGTACTGTCATTGTCGTAAATAATTTGATTTTCATAAGACATTTTAACAAGAGAAGCGATGAAGTAAAGTCAAAATTTAGTCTTCAGAGGAAAGACGCGTACGAAAACTATTACTATGTTGTATTATACTAGGAAACGGGAACCGTTGTGAGTCCGGAGAGCGAAAAATTCACATGATTTACAAGTAACTAATCAGGAACTTTTTCCGATGGACGTGATCATAACGTCATCATCATCAATCACAATTATTGGTCGAAATCACGTGCCGGACAGAGAAATTCATGTGATTTGAAATTTTTTCATAGTGCGTAGACAGTAATAGTCCTTCGCTTTGCTCCGGACAATAATCACTAATTCGTGATACGAGACACGATAAAATCAAATTCTACGAAATTTTTACCATCTTGTATAATGTCAAAATAATATTGTACGAAATTAAACAAATTAGGCAAAAGATATTTTATTCGAAACTTAAAAAATACCGGGTATCAGTGAAAACGTGACTTTACTGCGGATATATCGAAAACGGAACCAGGATCTAAAGCGGAGTAGAATGCGACCTGATTCTTGCAATTATATTGGTCAAATTTGTATATCAACCAATGAAATTGTAAAAAAAAACTACTCCGCTTAGCCTACCTAATTTGGTGTACTTATCAAAATTTGCAAGATCACGGGTAACGCAAAATACTGGCTTATAAACCCAGACATGAATCAAATCATCAAATCATATTTGTATCCTATTGATAGCCCGAAAAAAATGGTCAGACTTGAACCACTCAACGCTTTGGCGAAGGTATTTTCATCAGGGCAGATTCATTTACCACGCAAGCCGATAAGTGAGACCAGGTGAGCACGCATCACACTAGTTTGTTTGTTTTTTTTTTGTTTTTTTGAGATACGTCTCGTATTGACTTGTATGGATTGTAGTCTTCCTTATCCGCTTGCCTCAGACGTATCCGTGCAAGATTTCAACTCTTTCATCGAAAGCAAAGACAGGATTGGATACAAGATTGAGTATAAAAACGGCACTGTATACATAGTTGATATGCCCACAGCTGAACATGAGAGAGTTGTTTGTGTGTTGAACCGGTGCTTCGAGGTTCCAAACGGTGGCGCTCACAATTTGAATTCTCCACTACAACTTTTTGGACAGTCATGTAAGGGAATTCCTTCCAGTTTACTTGATCTTTGGCTTATTGATTTCATATCATATCCTTCCCACACAGTACACGAATCGCCAAGTCGAGATGGATCCCGTATAATGCCAGATCTCGCTGTCCTACCACATCATCGTTTTGTTCCACCACCACCAATCCCACATCCTGGTCCCCCTCCGAGTGATACGAGGGTACTTTGAATTTGTCATATTAATATCTATTGTTCGTGGTTGATATAGGACTTTTCCTGATATAATATGGTTTATGTAGGGAAACCCTTATTCGAGGATAATGGTTGAAGTAGCCGTGAGCCAAACCTCCTCCTCCTTAAAAGACAAGTGCAGGAAATGGAAGCGAGAGCCGTATGTACGAGCCATACTCGGCATCAAGCTTTACGAAATAAAGGATACACGCAATGCACAAGGATACAGAGATCGGGCCATGAAGGTATATCTTGCTATCTCATTATTATATAATTTTTTATATTAATAGTTTTTCAATATTAGGCTATTCTTTGGCGACAAGGGGTGCGAAGGCAAACGGTAAGGTTTACTTGTCTAGAAAGAGAAATTTATACTTCCTGTCATGTTCAAAATTTTTTATATGGCAGTGGAAATTTGGGACCATCAACAAAGACGGATCTCCTACTGGCGTTAATGGTTGTAATGCCCTAAACGACCCGGACTATATAATCAACATCCCCGTTAGCGACGTGTTTTACGATCCGCCGGTTCCTGCCATTGGATATGTTCCATTAGCACCACCGCCTGCTGCATTGATGGCTACTAATATTACCATCGACTTATATGATGTTCAGCAAGTAGTTTTATTTGCCCAGCCAAATTGAAAAACATCAACTTCACGAACCTGTTGCTCAAATGTTAGGGATGTCTGAATTTTTCGTTTTACGGGCTTTTTATTTTCCGTTTTTGATTTAGTAATATGGACATTCATCTGGTCAACTTCAGATGAAGAATCAGAGCTTGAAGAGCCGGAACTGCTATCAGACGAATTAGTGGAGATTTTGAATCTATGGTAGCATGGTTGATCTTTTAGCTTTCTTGTTTCTTACTCTTTCTGGTTTTTTTTTATCTCTGGGGCATTTGCAGGAATCGTGACCAGTTCTATGACAATTTGAGCATCTATGTTTCGATGATTTATTAACCGCATGGATTCCTGCCTGAATTCCTTGCGATATTGCTTTATTTATCGATAACTTACTCATGCGGTTGGAAGCTCCTCATCAGAATCTTGTTCAGCATTTTTTGAATCACTTTCTGTATTTTTCTTTGAAAAATATTTTCTAATACGCCTTTAGAAATAAAATCTGTGATGTTCTGAAGAAATGATGTATCTTTGGCTGTGGCATTAAGACGTTCTAATGTTCCATACCCTGTTAACCATTCTTGATCATTGAGACGGAGTCTTGGATCTGAATATAGTTTTCCTGATTTCATCTGACTGGGACGTGGTAACTCTCTACCTTGTGTCTGTGCACAGTGCCTGAAATGGGTAGCTTTCAGTGGATTTTATCATGGATTTTAAACTTCGCTTTTAGTCATACCTGTGTTACTTGTTTTATAAGAGCCGTTTATGTCAACTCTTGATTGTAATTGACAGGGTGGGACTCAGGATTATATTCACCTAACATTAATTTTGCCTTCCGTCTTTCAAACTCTTCCAATTTGCGTATTAAAGGAGAAATTGGATTTTCGAGACCAATACGAGTTACTTCTAATTTATTATCATGCGAGATTCCCTTAAAGAATTGTTGTCTAACTAACTCCTCCTGATTCGCTTCTGCTAATACGGGATAAGCTTGTTTAATCAATCTTTTTAATTTCGAATAAAAACGATTTAATGGATCGTTACCTTGGGACAAAGAATGAAATATTAATTGTGACTTTTCTGCAGTAATAGTAGGGTACTCGCGTCGAAAATAATCAATTGGCCATAGTAATACTCTGAGCTACAACATTTCCGTTATTCCCGCATTAGGGGGATTGGGAGCTAAGTCGGTTGGTTGTCCACCGATGTTATCCAATCTTCATCCCATACTGAATGAGGCGGAACTAATGGCCGCGCAGGTAGATTGCTATCAGCTGGTGTGGTCTCCGAGCACTACGGCAACATTGATGGCGCGTATTTAATTATTAGTCAATGCGTTAATAGCGTGAAGATTTGCTACGCCAATACGTACGTAATGTTTTGTAATTCCCAATTTTTATTTTTAATCCTGCTTTCATACCAATCTTTCGAATCGCCTTCAAGATAATTTTCAAAAATTCCATGAATTTTTATTCGCATATTATGTCCAGCACCTGGGTTATAATTAGCACATTCACACCATCGGCGAAAATCTCTAATAAAATCTTCTGGATCTGTTAATTTGGTAGTTCTTATCCTGCCATGTTCCGGTTATTATTGTTGATATTATTCTGTATATGTACAGTAAATCCAAAATTCTTTGATTTAAAAATTAATTCGGTCTTCCAATTCTAAATTAGCAATTTCGTTCTAAACTTCCACTTGATCTCGGTCTATTTTTCCATTTCGTATATTTCCCATACAAAATAGCACGTGGTTGGGCTTTATTTTTGTACCTATTGCAAAGAATTTTGAGAGCGAAAATTTCTGATAGTAATCGGGATTTATTTTTCTCATAATAAACTCGCCAGAACGTGCGCACTAATTTTCACCTTATGACTTTTCTCCACATCCAATATATATGTATCATCGATAGCGATTCGAGCGTTTTCTCTTTCTGTCGTTAACTCAACTTGAGATTGATTGTAATATTGGATTAATTCATCCAACGCATATTCGACTGAATTTCTATGTATTTTATTTCTAATTGATTGGCAGATAAGAGTCAAACGTTTTGGGGTTTGGAGTAAGATTAGCAATTTCTATTTGATTGGGCAATATTTTTCTGAGAAAAGATAATTCACGAATTCTTGTCTTAAGTCTGGTAATTTTTTCCTCGTATACAACTATTTGATTATTTTTGGCATCAATAATTTCATTGAGAGCAATCTCAATTGTTTTCGTAAATTCGATATCTGATTTTTTAAACCATCGATTTCATTCTCTTGAGAAGCGAAGCTTCGAGGCTCTGCCTCTCAATGATTGTAGTATTCTGGCGAATTGACCCCCTTCACATTTTTCTACCTTTTACGAAATTTTCTCTCATTCGTGCGACTTATGTCAACCTCGTGACCCGCAATTCCTAACATATTGAGATAAGTTTTTCCGGCAAAGAGATGTATGACGATCTCAGTAGTAAAACGTCCGCTTATTAGAGCGCGTTTTCTTTTTAAGACGTCGGCTGGCAGTTATTTCTCCCCCATTCATTGCTTTCAGTTGGGCCATTAAAAATATATCTTGTTCGGATTTAGAGAAAATTTGAAACGCTTCACATAATTTAGCAACTTCTCTCTCGGAATCATTTTCGAGCAACCACAATTGCAACCTTATCTTCAAGAAACGCATTGCTTTTCATACTCAGTAGAGCCATTATCTTATCATATACGATTAGTTTTATCGTGTTAATAGTGCATTAATTTGGATAATTGCGTTGATTGAAATTTTAAATTGATTGACCATGGTTTCTATTGCCAATATCCACAACTAATATTAAACATTGAAACACCATTATCAATACAACTCAAATGCGTATTGCAATGATAATGTTATAAATCATTCTACTCACCTATCAACATTAACATACTCAACTGAACAAAGTCTGAAAGAAGTTAGATTATAGCTAAAACATGTGCTAAACAATTTTTATTTATATGTATTTCGACTAATACATGAAATTATTAGATAAACTTGATTTATCTGAATCAAGTACATTATTCATACCAGCACTATTTTTCAAATCGTCTAAGAATTTCTAGAATATTAAGATTCCTAAGCATCTTTCCAAACTGATACAAATCCGTATACTCATTATTACTCTTGGGTATTGCACCCTCAAACGTTTAGATACTTCTAATCCATCTGTACTGCATACCATGCTCAATTTCTGGAATCATAACTTTATTGAAGTTTCGGGTTGCCCGTCACGAAAAATAAATTTTTTTTTCGATCATGATATCAACATAGAAAAAATGTACGCGGAGTATGCGCGCTCTTGCTTTCCTTTTTCCTTCGGCCTCACAGTCAATGTTTTGAGGGATTTAATATATGAATCTATTTCTTTCTGAACGATTGCTCTTTACTTTACTATAAGAAATCGATGATGGACCACTCGGAAGGTGTTCGATTAAAAAATTCGTGTACGTACAGTACATTTGGGAGATATAGAAAAGAGACGTCTACTTTATTTTTTCTGACTCCCTATTCTTGAATATTCTCTTCCATGATATGTTTTAAAAGCCTGGCATTCTTAGATATTTGTTACTTTACTTCCGATCGCATGTTTAGTATATATTTACTATTTATTTAAAATGCGTAAATAAAGAAAATTTTCGGCGACGGCCCCATCGTTAAAAAAATAAATTGTATATCACAAGAGCAATCGAATATTAATACTATTAAATGAATTAAGTATAAATTGGATTAAGAAATTTTATTAACTGGTACCTTTATTGGCGTGTGAAAGGATGGTCGCATCATCTTATTGCGTATGGGTGTGGCGGGTATAGTAGATGTAATACTTGGATCTTTGCCGTATCGAGATAAACTTTGAAAGCAAAGCTCAACGGAACGGGAAACAATGTTCTTTATAAATATGGGAAAAATTAGTATATGATATACAATCTGGTAAATAAATATTCTATACTGACCTTTATCTGCATTAGTTCTTCTATTGCTATAGAAAGTACATTAAGGTTATGAATATTTTGTGGAAGGAAAAACTTTCCCATGAATATCATTCGGTATATTGCGTCAAACTTCAGGTCCATCACAAACACACTGCACTGAAAACCTGATTATAAAAGAAAAGGTAAATAAGGATATACATATTAAAGATCACCAATACATATTTACCTTCGACAAGAATGCTACAAATAGCCAAATCTTCGGTTTTCACACCATCTTCAATGCACTTATCAAGCATATCCTTCATTTCATTTCCAATTTTTACTAAATCACAATCCACAAAATTGATTTTCTTTGAAGAAATATATCTGGCGGATTTTATTTCGGAGACCAATAAATAGTATCTGCTGCCTTTAATTTGTGTATAAACAGAGAAGTCTGCTTTTCTTCCCTGGAGAATAGGATCGAATTTACGTTTTCTGTGGGTTGATGGATCCAAAACATCCGAGGACCTAAAAACAATTCATTTATATATCTAATTATTATTTGATGTGTATAAAAATCCATTATTTTATATACAGACCATTCACACGTTAGATCGCTATTTACAAAAAAAGGTAAAATTATTGGTGCAAAGACTTCATGAACGAATGAATCTTCTCGCGCATCTGCTCTGTTTGTGTTACGTGGAAAATAATTGAAACTACAAAATAAAACTATCTTAATTTGCAGTAATACAATATATTAATATTGGATTTCGTAAACTTACATCGATTCAAAAACTTCTAAAACTAAATCGTTATCATTGTCTTCGGCTTCCTTCTGCCATTTCCTAAGTAATGACTTACAGCCTTGGAAGTTTTTATTTGCGATCTGTTTAAATTAATGTAAGTAAGTCGAAAAAAAACCTATTGAAATCACTCGCAAAATCTTGCCTTGGACATCTCATGACATCGTAGAATATCTTTATCTGATAAATGATATAGAGTATATTCGCTTCTGATATTTTCGAAGATCGCTTTCAGTGATGCGGTACCAATCATTTCCGAGATCCCAGTCGATAGATTCTCATCCAATAGAAATATATAATTAAGAGAACTAAATAGTTATTACAAAGAAGCGTAAGTAAAATATTAAAGATATAAAACACTTACAGCATTTCAACAGCGTTTTCAATCTTTCTCTCCGATGCTTTTTTGACTGACAGATTACGATATTCTAATAGTAAATTTGAAACATCAATTGTGCCGACAGTCCACTGTAAATATGCAACATTAGATATTAAATATTAAAGCTCAGGATTGAAATCAAGAGTTTAAACATTACCTTATTGTCATTTTCAATCAATGTAGACTCTTTTATGCCAGGTCCAACAAGCCATTCGTACTGGAACTCAATTTTTTCTTTTTGTTCAAGTTCAATATCAACATTGGATTCCTCTGATTCAGTACGGTAGGATGCATCAGATGCATTATTTTCACCCGACGTATTATCTTCAGCCAGTACAAGAAATGGATTGTTTAAACTGTCTCCTTCTACTCCCGAGTGTTTACACTGAGTTTCTATATCATTAATTTCATTGATATCACTGTCATCGAATTTCAATCGTTTTGGAACTAAAGGTTCATCGTTTTCATCCTCCTTTTCTTCTTCTTCAGTACTTTTCATGCAATGACTTCCTGAAGCAAAATTATCATGTTCCCCAATCTCGCCTTTTGTTGCACCAGCAACCTATGGTCAAACTATTTTGAGCCATGTTGTAACATCCAAAAGCGTACTCACAGAATAAACTTACTGTCTTCATCGTTATGGCAAAGTCTTGTTGAATTTGCAAGTTCGCATCATGACTTATTCGACAGGCTAGAATCTAAAGCATAAATTTGAATATTAAATATAATAATAAACATATAGTCTGAAACAAATGACAATTAGACATACCGCTTTCTTTTCCTTTAACCAAATTTCCCAGTCTCGTTGTATAATTTCTTCCTATTTAAGAGAATACATTAAAAATATTTCATATTTAATGTCCAATTTATCAAATACATACGTCATTATCCAGGGCTCTCAGCTCATCAAGTTTTGAGCCTTTACTAATATTTATAGCAATGGCAAGACTTTTTTTATACTTCTCAATTGCTCGTCCACGTTTAGTTGGATGAGTTAAGCGAAAAAAGGATATTGGAGTAGGTGCCGAAGAATTTAAGAAAAAGTCTATGTCACTATCTGATCGACTCCTGTTGGAGCGTTTTCTCTTTTCTTTTCTCATTATTGCTTGGAAGGAAAAAAAATAAGAGAGAAATGTGAGGTTTCATTGGTCACATAAGAGAGAAATGTGAGCATTGTTCCAAAACAAAGGCATCAAAACGGTTACTAAAAGGGGCAGATCTCTAACGAAGGTCGGCCACCGCTCAATGGCGACTCGCCATAACTGGCTTCCGATAGGTTCAGCCCTACCGCAGACACCTTCATCGGCAACAGCCCCAGCAATAATTCTGAAGTAATGAAGATCCGTCGGCCACCGCTCGATGGCGACTCGCCATAACTGGCTTCCGATAGGTTCAGCCCTATCGCAGACACGTCCTTCACACTAAGCAGAACTATTAATATAATTAACGATAAACCGAGAGAATTCTACAAAACTTACACGATAATATGTAGAAAAAAGTTTCGCGTTTTACGTGAGGGATCTACTACGTTTTATTATTAAATCACCTGACCAAAATTCGGCGACCAATAATATTAATGAGGTTTACAATGTCATTGATATATTGAGTTTCTTATTTTTATTTATAATTATAATCAAGTATTAATACGATGGAAGATCCAAATTAGTTGTTGCTAAGTCAATTTTTGACGTATTGGACGAACGTTACGGATTGTTTTTCGAACCCGTAATAAAGATAGTGTCTACGGGAGAAGTTAGATTTGAAGTGGAATTTAACCTCTCATTCGCGTACTCGTACTAGTACGTTTTAGCAAATAAATTACATACAGTGAGTCATAACGTTACCAGAGATTCACTCTATTATTGTAATAATATTACTATATTAATATTAATATTATAAGCCGCTCTAAGTTTGATTAATCTTTATTGAATTTTCACAGTCTTATATGTATATTGCAATCTTATATATATAATAGTGTCAACCAAATATGTCTGTGTGTATTTATACTTATAAATATAATGTTTCAACAAATACCAATGTATACTTCATTATAATTGATTAAAGTTAAGTTGTAGTCTGCACTACAATATAATCAACATACCATACTTGAGTTGTTTCTAACGTATGGTCGGATCACTCCAAGAACATTAAATTAATCATTACGACTGTTTCTTTAAGTTAGAATGCGGTTAGACAAGTCAACAAATACTGTTGACAGATCACAAATAACACACATAAAATAATCTACCTGTACAGAGCTTCTTGAGTCACTTGAATTTCATCAATCTCGGGAGCGAGTTCAGCCAATGCTTCATAGGCTTCTTTATGAAACGTCAACTGTGCTGTCACCAAGTCAGCAAGATTACACAGCGGCTCGGGCTAACGGTAATAAAGTATGGCTGAGTAATCATGACCCTTTACCAGACAGAACACAACACAATCGAAGATATTTTAACAAACAAATGCCAATTTTCACAAGATAAAAGCGATAAGTACATTATCCAGTACGGCCCTCATCAAGGTAATGCCCTCCTCAACAGCGGCAACAAACTGATCTTCAGCCTGTTCAATTTCTAGCCGTGCAGCCTCGCTTTTCTCTGCTTTTGTATTCTTATATCTTGCTTTGGCAGCATCCAAAGTCAGCCGCGTAGACTGTACGTTCCGTCTGGCCTTCATCGCAAACTGGATACTGGTATTCAATGTTGTATTAAATGGCTGAACAAACTTTTGTGTAATCTCTTCATCCATTTTTATCCTGTGCTCGCCAATTCTTTCTTGAATAGCTGCATATTTAATCAATGCTATCCCGAGAGGATCTTCAGTACCCAGTAGCTCAGCGCCCTGAGCAGATGCACGCGCTAAAGCGTGAGGAAGTGTCTTGGGAACCGAAGCTTGCACTGGATCCACCTGGCGAGATACGGATTCTGCACGCTCGGCTGGGCTTTGAGTTAAAACTTTGAGTTGATCTTGTACGTTGCGTGAGAGCTCTACCACAGATTCTTGCAATTGCGAAGGATAATCATAAGACGGATTCGTATGAATGCGGGTAATACGTAAAAGATTCGTGTGAACTGTGCGCAGTGCGTCCACACGCTATGACAAAGAAACATAAGCAGCATAAGACATGATTACAGAGGATATTCATTAGAGGTAAAAAGGACTCGGAACAGCAAAATTTGGCACTCTATGAAACCTTTTCGAGGTCTTTATATTCTTGCGGAAGATCAGTTATCTCTTCAGCTGTTCCTAACTTCTCCGCGGCAAACTAATAGTCGAACGCTGTAGATCAGTAATGCAGACAAGTCAAGAAACGTATGCATCAGACCCAAGTACCTGACGAACTTGGCCAAAGCCTTTGTTCAAAGTGACGAGCCTGGAGGTAATTCTGTCCATTTTGAAATTGCGCAGTTGATGGCTTGCGTTCTGTTAGACTCGTCACACGATATGTCATTCTGTTAAAATCTGCTGATTTGCTTAGAGTTCTAGTGTCGCACAAATGTGTAGGATAATATTAATTTGTGTATCTAGTTTTTCTCGTCATCGAGTTCTATTTGTAGCGCAATCAATCGTAACAATAAATAGGATATATACATATACTTCGTTTCAATGTTCCAATGTTCAATTAATTAAATTCTGAAAAGAAAAATATTGATCCTCAGGTGAAGAACTTTGCTGGAATTCAAGACGCGAAATCAATTACCCGTTCGAATTTACAATCAAGCGTATTTAAATTGTCGAACTGTTAGCAAATTTATTAGCTACTAATATAATGCGACATTTTGAGAATCCCAGAAATGGAAAAACGAATCTCAGGCTGAAGTGAGCGCCTTTTGTAATAACAAAACTAGTCTAAGGTGATTCAACTGCACGATGACTGTCATGGTCAATGATTCGCGAAAATATTACATTGAAAAGTTTCGAATCCATTTCTGTCAGCAAAAGATCGAATCTTGTTTTGTGTAAATTTTTACTAGACAACTTCTATCGACATATATACTCGTATTAAAATAATAAATTACTCTACAGCCGTTGTCCATACTTTCACTCCGCTTGTTTCACCTCCCTCGTTCACCTCGTCTTCAAACAATACACGTTCTTTAACCCAGTCTATAATCTCTTCAACAGTTCCCGGTGCTCTAGTTAATGTAGTGAAATCTATTTCTTGTTGAATTATATCGTAAAATTCTTGGTAGGAATCTATGATATGATTCTATAGAATAAAATTGGACCAGTCAGATACGTAGTCAAAATTTTTTGGTGAATTAGAGATTAATAGATTACCTGCATGAGAGAGAGAAGAAATTGTTCGGTATTTAGGTCGTCTATATAGTCCGACATTTTCGATACAATGAAGCGAAGTCGACTGGTAACCGATTGTCGGAAAGTTTCGTAGACTTCTACAATATTGACTATCGAACAGACAAAAGAACATATGTACATCAATCGCTCTTTGCGAGAATTATGATATGAACTATCTGAACGACAAGTGAAGCTTACCTGGCTGGGCAAAGTTCTGACTTTTTAGTCGCGTTTGTTGATGCAAGGGCTTCAAATCATTTCTCAGGCGAAAAGCTGACACCTACATTCGGATAGTTTGAACATAAATAATCTCGATGATTGCAGATTCAATCGACGTTGGGATATTTCTTTCGGTTTATATCTCACCTTTACTAGGAATGAAGATAACGGTTCGACCGCGGCTTTAGCGCTTTCCATTATAAACTCTTCACATACGTGCTTAAGTCCTTGGTCAACTTCTTGCTTTGAGTCAGTACGATTTTCTACTACTTTTGGGATTCCTTTCTGTGCCAGACCGAAAAGGGTATTGGGACTGAGGATGGAGTATTTATTTCGCATTATTGCATTCAGCGCATCTAAAGTTTTAGAGGTAGGTGAGATAATAAGTTGCCATTCCAAATGGTTTTAATCATACAATGGTTGGTATTGGGCTTCCCTCCTATATTAATTGTAAATGAGAAAATCTAATATAAAGAGGTACCTGTCATTTGGGAAAAGTCCAAACCCTTTTCTTCATGAACAAATTGTGTCTCGAATGACGATATGTGTTCTTTGAGGATGAGCAAATGCTTTATTAAGAACAGTTGCCTATCTATCCTGCTCTGAGAAAGATATTCTGTTAGATCCAGATACAGTTTTAAATAATGATCACAATATATTTACCTGTTTCTCCAAAGATTCGCTTACGCTCAATAACGATTGTAAACATGTTGATACAACGTCCTGAGCGATGTCATTGAATATTGTTGTCTGTACCAGGGATGAAACGCTATTAGTCATACTGTTCATATTATCATTAATTCCAACTGCGAAAATTATTTACGTTAACGCTTCGGTATAATTTCGATAATATCCATAAAGTACGTTGTAGTGGGGGATACCATCCACGATAAATATCGCCAGTGTTGACAGTAGCGAGCATTGCCCCTGGAGTAGGTGGTTCATTGTCGTCGTATTCGTGTACAGATAATGTGGCCGGTCCGGTTGATGGTGAAGTGGGTGAATGTGTATCTGATGTCGACTCTACTTTTGCTTCTGTTGAATTATCTATAAAAGTATACAACCACAGCATAAGACGGCATACGTATATAAAAATTATATATATAATGGACGCTATACAACGAACTTTTCAGTCGGGCAGGATAATTCAAGTCCTCTTCTTGAGGGATAAACTTCTGTATCGATGATTGGATATAAGCCTGTGCTCGAAACACGAGACGCTGCTGTGTATCTTGTAACACATTCTTGACTAGATGGCCAAATTGTAGCCTTTGTCCTTCACCTGAACGACAGAAGTATTGAATTAGGCGTGAAAATATAATCGCAATCATTAATAGCATTTACTGACTTCCACGTTCTGCATCCTGATCTGCATGTATTTGTAATATATTGCATAGCTCAGATAAAGTATCAATGTCAGTCTCGTGTATTATGCGAGGTCGAAGGTCATCATACAAGTAACTGCACAGCAAATCCAAATTCCCACTACAAAGTTGATTTGAGGTGTAAGTCAACCAATTTCACGTGGTATTTGAATAAATATAACGCGAATATACGTACTATAAGTGATCTTCACCAGTTGAAAAAAAGTTGTAGAACAGAGAATATTCATCACTACAGAGGTCCAACATGTAAGCATATCCAGTACGTGCCTGCATGAATACACACATATTAGGCACTCGTATCCATGACATGAAAACAGAGACATTCGCTTGTACATACAAAGGTCAAAATATCCTGTCCACTCGCACTTATCTCTTGAATCTGGGCTACAATTGCAGGTATTAATACTTGTTGGCGTACAACGAAATATGCTTTGTAGCAATCATTTAAAAGAGAGTAATACCTGTCGTTATATTAATACATGTATGTTTAGTCAAAGTGAACAGGAGACCCAAATAAAGACTTACTCTCTATGGCCAGGACATCGTTTCTCAATCTCGCGCACGAGACCCTTCAACTTTGGAGCTATCGTACGGAATTTGACATAGTGTAGAGCTGTTTGATTGGCCGAACTCGCGTTCTTTCAATAATTAAATACGTTGTATTAGCATGACACGATAATTATTAATTACTGACATCAACCTTTCTCGGCGAACTACCTGTGCAGTCTGCTTGGCAATTTCCATGCTAAGTGTATTTATCTCGTTGACGAAATACATCTTAATCAATGTCATACCACGCGTCATGCATTGTCGGAAACGCATAAGATAGAGTTCAGAATCTCTATATCGTAACTGTTCAAACGAGAAAAAAAATAAATCAAAAGCCATTGAAGGGTTAGTGGTTGTTTAATTGAGATAGGACAGCTATGCAATGAAATTAACTCTCTACTACTTTCACGCACGCTCTCCACTTTGATCACTCCCAAAAAATTAAACATACATTATTTTGCATATACTCCAAACACTCGTCCAGCCTTTTCAATTTCGGAACAAACTCCGGCTGCTCGCATATGTTCTCCCCAGGCGAATTAAATAACTTTGTGATATCCTCTAATTCGTCATAGTACCGCAATTTCTCTACTATAGATTCAACAATTGACGACAGATGATTCTGATTATAACGTAAGAGAGTTTTAGAGTTCCATGTTAATTTATCGATCTTGGGTAACGTGAAGAAATACATATTGCATATAACGTCAAGCACCTAACCTGTTCTGCTAATAATTTCTCACAAGAAGTTTGAAGAGCCTTAGTACGATCTTCGACAAATTTGAAATTCCCCTCGAGATCATTAAACAAACTCTCCGTAGTGTCAATTTGCCCAAGGACTTTATCGTTTGCTTCGCGATATAACATCACCGCTGCAAGAAAATTCCTATCATCTTTTTCCTGTTACTATTCTGTCTTGGCAAAAATCCTCTTCTCACCACAATCCAACGCCCTCACTATTCAGAGATTACAAGAACTAACCTATAAACATCCTCCTGATCTTTCTCCATATCAGCCTCCATCTTTGCAAACCAATCAAAAAATTGCTGTGTTGTCTCGATAGGTTTTCCCAGTCCGAGCGCTGCATCAATTGACGCTCCCCCTGCGGCTAATTCGGAGGACTGCAGTTCGGCCAATAAACTAGTCGTTGATCGCGATCGCGGTAATGAAAGCCCGGAAAGATGCAAATGAGGAAGCGGTGAGGAGTTGGTGCGTATGGGTTCTCTCAGTGACGGAGAGGAAGTGAGGTGAGGCTGAGGTGTGCCTGGTTGCAGATCGGTGAGAAACTGAAGAGGGAAAGCAGAGGAAATGTGAGATGAGTTGAGAGGAATGGAACAGCATCAACCTGGTTAGTCCTTACCCCTTCAGGAAGCGGTAGTTCCTTGCAAGCATCTTGAAGTTCTAAAACGCTCACTTTCTGCGTCTCTGTTAGTTGTGTTTTCGATTCCCAATCTTCTAAGGTAATTCCTTTGCCTCTTGTAGTTAAACTAGTGGCCATGTCATTCTTGATCTATTATGTTGACTATTTGAAATTTCCGGCATAAATGGGTTAAATTTGTCAATTTAAATTGTTTGATTACAATCTATTCTAATGACTTACAAAAATTGTTTGCTTTTTTCTATTTGTATTAAAAGTTGGTTATTTTAACAATTATTGGCGGTTGAAATCCAATCGGATGCGATTATATAAATTCTACGCTTCCTTGACAGGGCAGGGGTTTTTTCCTATTACTATTACTTATTACTATTGCTATGCACAAGTTAGCAATTTCAACGCCATGCTTTGGTCGCTAATATTATACACTAAACGTTTAGTATGCTACCGTTTTGTAAATAGCAGCATTGGCCAAATTGCTGCCAGAAGACGTCACCCCGCGATTCCAGCTTGCCCTTGTTCTAGGTGCAGGCGCTCATTAATACCGGAAAGAACTTCACCATCTTTCGGCAAAAAAAATACCACCAAACTTGATATTGTGGAAATTTCATTACTTGGAGAATGTTCGAAAACGTGCCCGGCCACAGTAGCTACCAAGCATACGAAAAAAACGACGAGATTTTAGCAAGCAATTATTTACGATATTTACGATTCTTTTGTTGTCGAGTCTTCTACGACATACATCGGCCAAGACGGGCAATTGTACGAAAATTGTCACCGAGGCGACCCAACTCCGGTTAATACGGTCCCTACAATCAGCAAGCAGCCATGCTCACTCTCTGGAATGGCTTTACTACAAGGGCTTTCGGGCACGAACCCACTCCCCTTCTTTACCTCCGAGCCTAGACTTACACCAACAGAATATAATCAATAGTATATCTAAGAATAGATTATCTCCCCCTCCCCCTATAAATCCGTCTTATGGGCTTTTATTCCTCTGCATGTATGTAGATAGATAAAAACAGCTTAAACTGGGCTTTAGCGAGCACCTCATTGTGAATAAAAGTTCCTCGCGGTAGTTACCAAGGCGACGCACCAGATAGCATTTGTCGCTAGACGTGTGGACAATAGTAGCCTCATAAGTTAACAACGAAAAAAGCTTTAAATATTGGATATTTGTACCAAAATACACCAAATTGTTTGTTGGTTTATGTACACACAGTGCCAACAAAAAAAAACAACACGCCTTGTAAAAACAGCTTTACAAGAAAGATGGCATTGTGGACATATTTCGGATCGTTTGGTACACCTTCAGCGAGCCCAAAGAAGAGTAAATTACGTCGTAATCTTTAAGTGGAAAATCACAATCTTAGCCTACGCGAATGGACAGAAGCAGTCGCAGATCAATTAATTCACTACAAAGTGCCTGCCAACCTACAAAAGGTCCCATAAGATTTACAGAAAGCCCTAGACAATGAACTGGGACCACTATGTGCGAAGTCTAACATCTATATACCATTCAAAGCACAGTTAACTTTTTGTAAATGCAAGCCCTCAGGACTAAGCATTAGTTTGCATTTATTATTATGGGATTTTATTTATGGGTAAAGAATTCCCTAAAAGTTGATGTTGTCAATACTAATACTACTAAATGAAATTATTACTGGTAACCATTATTATAAATCAACATAGTATTTAAAAATTGTGTTAAGTTCGTTTTTTTTCTTGAATAAAACTCTCTAAACTTATTTGCAGCATGAACATTTGTGTTAGGAATAGAGATGTGTACTAATAATAGTTGTATGTAAATGGTGCTAATACTAACATCAAACCCAATTGAATTGCAAACAGTGATATTATTGAATAACCAATCTTGCTTCTATATCTAAGGAGAGCATGTGCAGATAAAATTTAGAATAAAATAAACTAATTCTTTTCATATTGTTATTTGTAATGCATTCTCTGTGTCGTGTAATAAAATCATCAAACATGCTTTATAGATATGAAGATATATGCTATACAAATAAAACGTATTAATAACCTTCCCGTCCCTTGCCTCTCCACTTTGCGGACTGTAGTTTAACAATTCGGGTTAATAAGCACACGAGAAGGCAGAATCGATAATTCTGGCATTTAAAAAAAGTACGTTACTATTACATCGAAGGTGATTATAGAATAGCATGATCGTTGAATCCGAAACTTTTTTTTTTTTTTTTACTTTTCTTTTCTCAGTCTGAATGGTCTATCAATAAGCATTTTACTTTCTTCTTTTCGATCATCTAAAAAGCAAGGGGTATGCATAAATAAGCGATGCTGAAAAAGTCCTGGTACCGATAAGTTTTCTCTGCAAAAAGAAAAAACGCCGCCCTTTTTTGGGACTTAGTACTAAATGTACACTCTCTATTTTCTGCAAGCAATAGCTATAACATTAGAGCGAATGGAATCTAGGCCATCTACAAAATATAAGCGTCCAGTTGGAAATAATGAAACAAGGTTAAATAAAGGTAACACGGTTCGATGTTTACTCGCTAACGCCGAACGGGAAGGTGGCATAACCGATCCAATATGGAGTGACGTTATTTACAATCCGAAAAATAATTGTCTCTGAAAATGAACCAGTTTTATATTATTTAGATGGAGAATATGCCCCATCACGTGGATTTGTGCGTGAAGAACTTATGCATATAAGGTCCAATATCCTCCTCAAAGTATATTAGAGGCCGAAGCCTCCTCATCCCGCGAGTCAGAAAATCAACGCAGCGGTTAGTTCATACAACCTGTTTCTGAAAAATTAACTAAGACGGGGGAGTATGCTAAAAGACGTGGAGGGAGTGTCTTAGCAAAAACCGGTAAAATAAATGGCTACGATGTTTTTCTTTGGTCATGCACATCAATGGGAATATCCACTGAAATTGATTACGAAAAAGTTTGAATGGTGCCCATTACCATTATATCACATTGATGAGCATAAAAACGCAGAGAAATTAACGGCCTCAATTCGATACCCAATGGCCTTTCAATTTACTGGTCAGCGGACGAACTAAGACAAGATGTATCGGATGTTTAACGGAAAAAAGGTGGGACGCGTTATATAAAGAATGACGATCTGGTTTTGATTGGACATCATCTTAAGGAACCCAAATATAGACATTTGATTGTTTACCAAATCATCCAAAGCCATAATATGTTCCGATCGATGAAGCCCGACAAAATACCAAAGATTGACGAATTTTCTTCTGAAGACGTATGTAGTGAGCCTAAAAAATAATAAGAAAAAATCGTCCCTTACTTTATTGAGGGATATCATTCCAACATCAGTTCAATCTACGTAACTAAAGCTTTTTCGACTGTCCGAAATTAATAAGAAAAATCTGATTATATTGCACTCTTTAATGGGGCCGGCACATGCGATGAACTGGTTGATATAATCCACAAGGTCGGTGATTGACTTGACTAGAGCGAAAGAAAATCCGCTCTATATTTGTGAACATGCATAGTGTAAGGCGAGTTTCTGAGCATTGAATCCACCAGGGCGGTAAATCCACTCGACGATTTTTCTTTGTATCTTTATACACGCTTGAATCTTTTTACCAATTTCCCTTGCACGTTTGAGTCATTGCATTCCCTTAACTCATAACGATGTAATGCATACTTATTACCATAACATACATTCTTGTTTAATTTTCAAATACTCTTCATAATTTACACCACAGTATTTATTTTCGGCGGTACATGAAAATTTCCAATGCCTCTCCATTCTTATATGCTTATAAATTTCCTATATTCTTTTTATCATGTGAATCGGAATATATCTGATATATTGACACAGAGATAAGGATAATAATTCTCCTCGAACATCGTGGCTTTCTTTTTGCGGAGTGAATGAAATACACAAACTACTCAATACATGGCAGACCGTCACTACTTTATAGATCGAAGTATAAGCAATTAATATTATGCATCAACTTTTTTTAGAACGTAACCGTGTGCTTTTAAGCAGTTTAAACCCAAATTTTTGCGACCGTTTACTCTGCAAAATATTTTTGCTGACCGCCATTATTTTTTTCCATAATGAAGTGTGTGTAAAGTCGAAAGTAATGGCAATATAAATAATGTGATGAGAAATCCCATGAATATTTATCGGTCACGTCATCTAAAACATAATTTAAAATGTTCAACGAAGTTATTCCTTGGGGATGACATTGACTGCCTCTCACATTTGCTCCTTGAAACCCGTTTCCCTTCCATTCGTAATAGTAAGCACTAATACTGTAACTGCTGCTTAAACAACTCAGAAAGAATTTATTAAGATTCACAAGAATGCTCTATAAACAATGTAAATACTTTATTAAAAATTAGTCTTATTACATTCTCTATTATCTACAATCTAATTATTTTAATATCTACAACTAACTGGGTCAAATAAAAGTACTGGTCTACAATCGGAGAAATATACTTTGGTTCACTAAATCGTTTATACAAATTGACTTGCACTTGTACTCAATTTTTCATTGTTCCCTGAACCCTTACCAGTCCTCTTACTCCCAACACTGCTACTCCTTGCTAGACCACGGTTGTTCCCACTCGCACTCTTGGACCAAGCACCAAACAGTCCCTGCCCACCACTACGTGTCCGGCTTTTTTTGAAACCATTTGATGTGTGATTAGATTGGTGAGTGGAAGGTTTAGAAATCCAGGAATCGAGAGCTGTGGCCGGCTTCTTGGCTGTGCTGCTACTGTATATCTCATCGATTTCAAACTCGTCGTCACTTTCATCCTCGGGAACTTCAGCCAAAGTCCAAAACTCTCCCCGCAGCCCATTACCATTCCCACTTGCAAAGCTGCTATCGCTGCCTAACGATTTTATTGATCCTATGATACCATTAAGATTAGTGAATATACTTGCTGTTTCTAATGGTTCATTTTGAGAAAAACTCGGTCGTGCTTTCGTAGTAGTGCCGGTAATAGGAATAGCCGGAGAAGAGGTCGTCGGACTTGCTGTTGTTGGTGAAGTTTGCTTTCCCGAAAATCTTCTCGTACGTCGCGTCGGTGATGGATCTGGAGAAGGCATGTACGACAAGTGCTGCATAGAGAGAGATGGAGGTTTGTTGGATGGATGTGAAGATGTAGATGGTGGAGTTTGTGCATTGCGACGAGTTGAGAACGGATTTAAAGAACTAGAAAGAAAGGAAATAGGAAGGAATAAGAAATGACGTTAGGCCTCATGTTGTAAAATAATCCCTCATCCCCTTGGCTATACAAACAAAGTACTTTTCCGACACCGCCAAATATGATTACCTAAAGTTTCCGTCAAAAGCCGACTCCAAAGCTTCTCCAACCGACCCGACCCAGCTCCTATCCTCCTTTTCGGTATTGATACCACTCTTTCTATCCTCCTTTCCATCTTTCACATGCCGCCACGTTTTTAAATGCTTTCCATAATGAACTGATCCAAATTCAGATGTGAGAGCTCCGTTACTGGGGGCGGTTGGTTTGTTGGTATCGACGGATTGGCTATCGCGCTTTTGTTCCTTTTTGCGATCGAGCTTCCACCATTTTTCTTTTTCAAACTTGGCAGCGTGTTCAGTTTGAATATCGGCAAGTTCTTCTGCAGGATTTACATAAACAAAAGACTCGCTTATTGAATAACCGCTATCATTACGAGAGTGGGCTTCAGTAGTCACGTTACCGTCTTTCTCAACCGTTCCATGAGATTTCCGTATTTCGTCTGTCTTGTTATCGCTATTTCTTGTTTGTCTGTTGTTTCCAAATTTAATCTCACATAAATCCCCTTCTTCCAGTATAATTTCATTTGTCGCAGCGGAAGCCGACGAATATCTTCTATGCGTACGCATAAAGTCTCTCGAAGGCTTTCGCACCGACATGCGAGGGCGGGAGGATGCATCCTCTTGAGTAAAGAACCTTATCACGTCTTCCGGGAGGTGATATCGTCGGATGTCGAAATTAGTGGGAGAAAGAGTAGATTTGTTGGAGAAGGATGACTCAGTTGTAGATGGAGGACCTGGGGATGTAGGCAGAATTGCTGTAGATTGGTGATTCGTGGACGAGTACAGAGATGATTGGTTTGGAGAACTTTGAGAATGGTGGTTGGCGTGAAGATAAGAGGGTGAAGTTGTGGGTTGCGAAGCAAAGGTGGATAGTGCTGGAATGGCAGGGAGGTCTTTAAATTGTTCGATAGAGCTGGCCGTGTATGATCTTTGTCGTGTATGCGGAAAAGATTTTTCGTTTGCTTTTTCGCTTGTTTTCTCGTTAGAATTACTAGCTACTGTCTCGTAAGCCTTTGAACTTTTATACATCTTTTGTCCGATATAGAATGGATGGGGAGCCGACGATGATAATGGTGATAATGGCGACGGTGGGAAAAGAGAGCCAGACCTTGTGTTTGAGAGCCTCTCTGACTCGCTTCCAGTGTTACTTTCATCGTTTGTGTGTTTGGAGGGGAAAGGATAACTTGATAGATTTGAACCTCCCGTGAAGGGAGATATGGTTTCTATCGAAGGCAATACATAGTCTCCCAAGTTCACATCATGCGCAGCATCGATGTTTAATGATAGAAGACATGACCTATTGTTTTCCATTGCACTAAGCGGAGAATATGACGGCAACGATCGTGCTGAGGGAATTAAGACTACATCCTTGTCTAAATGTTCTTTTCCCTCTCGCTCCCCCAGTTCTTCGCCCTTACACCATGAATACTTTACTCCTTTCTTATTCTCCGTTCCGTACCCTAATTTTCTAAATCCGTAAAACCCATCCATCTTTCTTTTCCTTTCTTGTCCCACTTTTGATAACTTTACTTCATCAGTTATTTCCGTAGGAATGAAATGAAGATTTGCTTCGGCAAAGTACGGGTGAAGTAAAGCATCAAGAGCTGTCAACCGTTGTCGAGGATTATAGCGAAGTAGATGCGAAAGAAGTTGAATAAATGTTGGGGGTGTGGAGCGAGGTAATCTTTTGGCTATGTTTTGAGGTGGTATCTAGGCGTTGAATAAGGGTAGAATGTAAAGGTGAGTTGAGAGAGAGGAATACGAATACTAATGCATATATCACGCGATCAAGTAATGAATGTGGTTGCTAAGTTGTAACTCCCAACCAAATAAATCATCTTAATACTCACAGCAGGGAAACAAAATCCTTTGCTCTTAGCCAACTTCACGCCCTCTTTCCAATCACCCCCACCCATCCCCCCAATCTGTCCGACTGCATCATCTCCAGGCGTCGGGCTACCCAATACTTCGCATATTCTGAACATTTGATCAATTTCGCTTTGACCAGGGAAAAGCGGTTTTAGTGTGCATACTTCGGCCATGATCACACCAACGGCCCATAGATCGACGGGAGATGAGTAGGATGGAGAACGCAGGAGGACTTCAGGCGCGCGGTACCTGATGAGGCGGGTTGTAGGATGCAGGATAAGAACATAATTAGATTGTGAATAAAACGAACAAGGACAATATCAAATAATGACGATTGAATATAGGACGGTAATCACACATATATATGATCACAGTAACATACTGTTTCATCTCTGGTATCGATACTTACCACCGGGTGCTGACATATTCTGTGTATGGTGGACGTGATTTTATCTCTCTGGTTAGCCCAAAATCTCCTACTTTCACAATATACTCTACGTTTTCGTCATCGGCCCCTACATCAACATCATCCACGGCACAGTTCCGCTTATCCTCTTTCCAGTTATCATTTCCCTTTTCTTCCTTGCATACACCCTCTCCATCATCCCAATAATGTATTAGGCGCTCATTTGTCTCTGCATCAATGGCTGACTTGCCTAATACCTTTAGTATCTCGTAATCTTTCTCGTTTACGTGATCGTTGCCGTTGCTGTTGTTGTTGCTGAATACTTTTTGTTGTTTGCGAGTGGATATGAGAATGTTTTCAGGTTTTAAATCTCGATGAAACAAACCGTGTGAATGTATATGATGTACGCCTTGTAGCATCTGATACCTGATGGGATAAGAAATCGAATATGATCAGTTGCTGAGATGGTTACCTTTAGGATCAACATGGTGGGGGGGGGGAGATGTAATCTTGACCAAACCATTTAGTGAATCAATTGCAAATTACTATTCATACATTATAGACTGAACGTTTTTTTGACAGAGTCTTTTTCCACTTCTATCTTTTATCAATTGATACAGGTTCCCCTCCATATACTCGAAGACAAAATGCAGATCTCGTGTTTGTGGAAGAAGAAATGCCTCTAGCAAACATATTACTTGCGAATGTGTTGGAAGGAGACGAAGCGACTATTGGAATAAAAACAGAGAATAGAATTGGTGAGTGTAATTAGTAAAAATAGTGAATTTTTTTGATGGTGTATTGTAATGAATACCTTCAATTACCATTATCATTACTATTCTATTGTCATCCCTTTTCCTATCCGCAACTAGTTCAACTATTATTAATGATCAAACGCCTTGCCTTGAATTCTCGTAGTTCACATGCTTTATCCCACGAAGAGAATTTCTTTTTCATTGTCTTTATCGCTACCTGAAAATGTGCGAAAGCGAGAGTATCAATATTTATATGTGTGCATACTCAGAACACTATTCCAACAAGACCTTAATATACTACGTACCATTTGCCCTGTATGTTTATGTTTAGCCTGTATAACTGTTCCAAAGGAGCCATCCCCTAGTTCTTTGAACACATCATAGTCTTCCATAGCGAATACAGAGAATACAGTTACAGTCTGAATAGTAGTAGAGTGAGCGAGCACGTTTACTACAGTTTTTGATCCTTTTATCTGTTCCCGTTCTGATGCTGACTTTTCTCTCTTTGTCTCTTATATTTTAAGGTAATAGTAAAGTAATTCAGTATTTTTGTAACAAAGAGTCGATACTGTGTTGCACGTCCAATGCATACTGCCAAATGGGGCAAAACGCAAACAAGGCGAAAATAATGCCACGAGACGCACGGTAGTGCCAGGGGTACTTTCCGTGTCTTACGAACTCTAACTTTCAGGAAAGCGATTTGCTTACGTTTTATTGTATACGTAGAAGGATGAAGACGTTCAATTTTACAGAGGGAAAAGAAAACTTTGACTTGATATTTAAATAAGACTGTCCTGATCGGACTTTATTTATGATTGAAATCGCAATTTTTGCGTTTCAATATATATAATGAAGTTTATAAAACCATTAGTGGCATAATGCCTGCGTGATATTAATATTAATATGCCTCAAAGGTTGATTTCGGTCGACAGCGACTTCGCATTACTGAGGGTATTTTAACATCTTGCTTGTAATATCGTTGTATTTAATACTATATACATAACTTGGCTCATACTCGTGTGCTTGACTTGAAGAAGCTGATAGTCGCTTCGCTATAACGTGACGGTATGAAATCGATTTATTATTTAATAGATACAAGTGGGCCTCGATATAACGACACGCTCAGTTCCAATCCAAATGGTCACTATATCGAGAATGTCCTTATATCGAAAATACGATAACTAAACAATATAAAAATTTTGTTCTAAGATTTCTGTCGTTACTATAGCAAGATGTCGTTACAGAGCAGTGTCATTATATCGAGACTCACTTGTATTAACTACAATATTGCAATGTTATATTTATTTAAGACTCAAGCGCGCTTTTAAAAAGTTTACTAATTCACTGGCCAAGCCTAAACAGCAATAGTCTGATTTATTCGCTGCAAAGTTAATGGCTAAACGGCAATAGTCAGATTCATTCGCTGCAAAGTCAATTCTGCCGTATCCATAAAGATAACATAGTCTCTTTCAATATCTGTATTAAATATAATGCTATTGCCTATGTGGTTCCAATTACTGCATCTTATAACAATAATTAATGCCCATCTATACTCGATTTATATGACAATAAGAGAAATTTATGGTTAGTCAATTTGTATTGCAATAATGCCAAAAACTGAGGAAAACTCTCATATTGCATGACCAGAAACCTATATTAATTCCACCCACACACATCGTTCGTCTCGATTGCGGAAGGTTTTAGCTCTGCAAAATTTTACTGTACACATGGATACGAATAACAATAGCAGTAGTAAATTTGTAATGTAATACGGTCGACATAGCAAAAATATTGTCATTATGAAGATATTCGTATAATAAGATCATAAACTTGTAATCGAATCAACAGCAGCGCCGTTATTTGTATTAATTACCGATTTTTAGACAAGAAACTCTTCTAGTTAGTATTATCCAAGCAAAGTAAATCCTACAGATTGGTGATGCTCCGTTTATTATTGCATATTAAAGCTATTGTAATAACCTTCTAAGATACACATGTATGTTCAATACAACGTTCAGTAATTAAGACTGTTTGTTTACTATGTGGTAGGAAATTAAGTTAGGTTCGGCACTTCTTGGATTATTAATCAAACCAACCTCGTATTGGTATAGGGATAATTGTACAAAATTTTCACTGTTTATAAATGGCAGCTTAGAATGAGGTATAATAAACCAAGAAGTAATTTAGAAAAGAGGGATCAACCAAGATTGGTTTTTGCAGTTCTATTAATATTGTAGCCTTTAAATTTAATCTCTTCTGTGAAAATTGCCTGGTCATGCTGATATTACTATGCACTTTGACGGTTACATATTAATATGCACTTAGGTATTAATATGTCACAGTTCAGAATATGTTCACTAAGACAAGTTATGCATGTACAGTCCTCTTATGCAGACACAAGTTAGGAAGGTACCAACCACTATTAATATATTAATGCGTTGCAGTATGAATGTCACGTTACCTGTGCTACGATATACACAGGCTGGATATACAGTACCATTTCTGCCTGCCTTCAAACAGCGGTATTTGCGAAGAAATCCGGGAAAACTCAATTTATGCAAAGGCTGCTGGAAAGCTTAGATATCATTGAGACATTAATATTAACCGATGCTAATGCTGTACTAGTACCAAGGCTAATGATGACGTATTCCGACGGTATCACAAACATTTCACATCAGATAATCGTTGATAATTCACATCAGCAGTGATATACTGGCAGTGTTCATCAACAGTATGGTAGTACATGTACGGTTCAGCGCGACTTTCCCGATATAATTAATCATGTTCACATAATACTCAATTAATACCCCTTTCTAATAATAACGTATAGTTCTTTATACTCTGAAATACATCATTAATTATTCGTTCTCTGGTAATTATCGGTATAGTTGTGAGCCACTAATCCCTATATCGATTAGTTGACGATCGATTGCTCTCCACTCATATGATCAAACTAAGCTGGCTAGTTTATCAGTGTCATTAGTGACATGGCTATGCCTTGTTCTATCTGTAGGTACGGTCATGGAGCTGAATCATTAATTATTCTATGTCACAATTTTTATTATTATCTGTTACAGAGTACTATTACTATGGACAAATTTGAATATGCCATTGGAGGAGGCTTAGTAGTGTGTATGATTACAGATGCACTTGAAAAAGTTTTTTGGCCATACAATGGTCCGTTACATGATAATACCTTGAGAGACATGCAGTAAAATTTTTACTGGAACAAGTGTCACTTCTATCCAAGTATATAGAGTACATTTTGGACTTGATGGTATGTATCAGCTTCATGTACTATGACTTAATGTTGATTCTTTCTTACATATTTGAAATTACAGGATAGAGAAATATATGATGTTTACAAAGGCATTACAATTGTTGAAAATCTTGACAAGAAATAGCAGCTTACAAAGTTGATGCTCTTACCATTGTCAAGACAGATCATAATCATAAAGAATTTGCAACAATTGAGGCATCTGTGGACCTGCTGAACAGGATTATTTCCACACACTGAAAGGACATTGTTGATGCATCTTTTGAAACAGCCAAAAAAAGTTGAAGGTTTACACAATTACAATGCAATCATTGGTATGTTCTCAGGACTTTTGAATTACAATTTATGTAGAGTTTACTGATGCAATTTACTCCTACTACTACAGTTGACCACATCATCTTGATTGAAATGTCAATACACATGCCAAACTAAAACTTCAAAGCTGTGGAAGTAAAAAGTGCATGGTGGCCAATTTTTTTGGAATACCATTGGGAACACTAATACATGCATGAGTTTGAACTAATTGCCTATTTTGTGGCAACCATGTAGTGGCTATAAATGCTCATATTAAAACTACTACTACATGAACAAGAGAAGGTGATGAAGGCAGTGGTCAATGGTATGGTTGAATTTGGATCTTACACAGTTCACCAATTACAATGGCTAAAAGCACTGTCAAGAACCTAGTACTAGAGAATGTAAACACAGCTTTTATGTTTGGTATATCAGATAACATATATTATTCATTGTATGAAACTAAGTCTGCTGTAATACAGTACCTCTAAGAAATACTTGGAATTAGAATCTGATAATGAAAATCTTAACAGAAACTGTCCTGCTAGTTATAAGTATGGATGATTTCCATCATCAATTCATCAGCTCAAAATCTCAGGAATAAGGAAGTCCACTCTCAAAAATCCTGATGAGCAAATGAGCAAATTAGAAAACAATAAAACCGAGTTGTTTCTCTTATCAAATACCGTTCAACTGGTCAACATCTTAATTCCAAAGAACAGCGATCATGATAGGATAAAATTGAGTTACTGCCCTAAAGTTAAGAAATTATTGCGAATTTATTATTATTATTATTATAGTAGATGTTCTTGTTAGGGATAGTGAAAACTCACACATGTTGCTAGATAATAATAATAATTAAATTGCTCGGAATTAATGGTACGCGAACCCACGTAAAAGATGATTACGCTCACCAAAATTTGCCACTATAACACGTGTTATTATAACGCTTTCATTTTAATATTAATATTACCATGCACTTTGATGGTTATGCCTGCATACATATATGCATTAAGACAAGTTATGCATGTACTCTTGTACAGATTCGGCAGAAATTCAGATGAAATATTATTTGTGTGCATTCTACAGTAATTGAATAAAAGTTTGTGAAGAATCCAAAGCGACTATCTAGACTTTTGTTCAGATTTGTTGCATAAATGTCCCCTTGGACTATAGCCAGGAGAGTTGACCGGTACTTAATGAGCTCATATGTTTATCTAAAAAATAGTCAGGCCAGGTACTGCAAGCGACGCATGTGTTTGTTGCTTGCTGTGTGGCAATCAAGTATGATCGTTATTACTTATAAAATACATGAACAAAAGAACGCGATAAAAACGGTTCAGATCCGCAGTTCGCCAGCCGGCTAAAAAAGGCTGTCAAAGATAACTTAAGAAATTGCCAAAACCGTAATGTTTTGACGTCGACGTATAATATAAAAACCCCCCAAAAATTTTTTGTGCATTCCTAATTTCTGGCGCTCACCCTATAAATTTTTGATACACCTGTCATCACAACAATCGGTTCGGTTAAGACTTTATTCTTTAGACTGCTGCGAAATATCCGTGATCCAGTTAGAACACCATGGGCGAATCAAGAACAGAACTCCTTGCATGGTTAAATGACTTGTTGCAGCTGAACTATACGAAAGTAGAGCAATGCGGGACAGGTAAGGGACTCGCATCTTTATTGGAGATTAGAGGAGGGTGAGGGTAAAGCTAAAGAACAAGAAGAGCGAGGAGTAAGCTTGAAAAGATAATACAACAAGAAAAGTACAGGATGTCCAAAAGAGCCTGAAGGAGAATATAGCCGAAAGTTTGTATGCTTGTCGACAGAAAGTAACATAGTAATAACACGACAATAAATGTCATAGTCAGAACATCAGCATCACTTTAAGTCAACCCTTGATCCTCACATTTGACTTGTTCATTTTTAAAACACAAAACAGGAGCTGCCCATTGTCAAATCATCGATTCCATATACGGTAAAAATATGTCTTTCTGTCTCAAACGAGAGTTATTTCGATATCCGCGTTAAATCAAGGTGTGAATGCTCACTATCAACTCTACGTATTTTTCGCATCTCACGTCTCTCTCTACTTTTTTCTATGCAATCATACTTTATCATAGGCGACGTCCAGCTCAACAAAGTCAAATTCAACGCTAAACACGAATATGAATACGTAGCCAATTTCAAAGTGCTCCAGACAGCTTTTGATAAACATAAACTTGACAAGGTACGTGATGGATCTGAGTTGTGAGAGGACGAAATGATTCAAGATTTATTTTTACAAAGCTAAAGAGGATATTGATCGGTGGACTTTCATGTAAAAAGAAACGTGAAGTGGCTGTTTATTGCAAAGTTGATCGAGATGCGAGCGATGGAGGATGAAAGTTAGACACCGATAGGAGTTTTAGATGATTGTCCTCATTTCCAGCACACGAAAACAAATTTTATGAACTTAATGTTTCATCTCGCGAACAGATTAATTAGATCATGTTTTATCTTCATATTTATTATATACTGAATTCCCTGATTCAATGTTTTCCTAAATCTACATTAGACGATCTCCGTACAGCGTCTGGTAAAATGCAAGTTCCAAGATAACCTTGAATTTCTTCAATGGATGAAAAAATACTGGGATACTTACTATCCAGGGGGACCATACGATGCGTTGGGCAGAAGAGGAAACATGGCAGGAACGCCCAAATCTGTTACCGGTGGTGGCTCCACTTCCGCGATTAGGACTGGAATGACAAAGAGGACGCCAGGAGCAGGTATGAGAGGGTTTTTTTGAACTACAGTGGAGGGTGGCCGTCAACGATAGTTTTTTATGTAAGGAGTTGCATCGGCTGTAATATTATACCACAATGTGGGACCATGAGGAACACGTCACGTCGATTACTATGCTGCATAACAAGGAATACGATAACCGATCGCTATCATTTTCTTCTTAACAAGATATTTGTATCCCACTTGGAGAGGGATGGTTACGAGTACTATTATCTTGCAGCCATTATTTTAGTCATGTATAACTTGAAATGTTAGTTTTCAAAATTCCCTGCTTACTATTTTTTTGTCTTTTTTTTCTTCCAGGAGGCAGAACTGGGGGAGTAAGCATGCATGCACCCATATCAAGTTCCGGCCGCCTTTCTGCTTCAGGCATGAGTGACCCTGTACAATCCAGTGCTGCTGTCCTTGATTTAACTAAAAAGCTTGAGGAAGTCAATGCAACAGTCGATGGTTTGGAGAGGGAAAGAGATTTTTATTTTGGCAAGTTGAGGGATATTGAGATTCTTGTGCAACAACAAATCGAGGGCGATCCAGAGAATGTTTTCTTGAAGGAGGTTCAGGATATCTTGTATAGCACGGAAGTAAGTATAAGCGCGAAAGGAACAGCTGGCAATGCTACGTGAAAAATTGCATATTTTAATTGACCCGTTCATTTGTTATTTTCCAGGATGGATTTGAAGTGCCGCCAGAGGGTGGAGTCGAGGGAGTAGAGTATGAAGATGAGACTTTCTAATGTCATGGTTTACATTATTTTCTATATTCTCTGTATTTATGTAAAACAATAGAATCCTTCGGATGTGAAATTATAAAAATTTAAAATTAACATTTCACATACGATACTATTCCTAAACGGCAAGTCTACTAATTCTCCCATGAAGAGAAGAGTATTAGTTGATTCTTCATTCAAGAAATGCGTGTCTTTATACACGATAGTTCTTACTCTCCCCAAATAAACGCGTAGTTAGAATCCAAAAGAAGAGTTGCCATGCACAAACTGACTGTATTAAATAATTTAGCGGTGAAATTTGGGAGTCAAAATTCCTAGTTGAGTTTCACTTGCGATCTATTAGAATTTGTATGGTCTTCAGGATAAACATATATCATATGATATATTGTAATTTTGGAGCCAAGATTAATTAATAGACTAAAACTTTGCAATTTAAGCTCTGAAATAATGTCTTACTTATTGCTTAATCATCTTCCGACTTTGATTGAAATACATGCGTTTTTATGTAACAAATGCATTATCGAGTGGGGAAATACGCTGATGATAATTATTTTATTTTTTAGAGTTGCTAACTAGTGGACAGTTAATATTTTTTTCGAAATCTAAAAAAGTAGTCATTCGACTGATCCAATCGTAGATCTCTAATACAGAGCCCGAAAGGAAGAAGTAAAGTACCTCTTTTAGAGTCAATTGATAGCTTTAATCCTCTTTGGTCTCGTGTTGTGCTAACTGGCTTTCATGATATTCATTGGAATGGATAAGGCAAGCAAGCCTTTTGGCTTCTAGTTTTCAATTTCTAGCTGGAAAAAAAAAAAGTATTTTGCCGTTACACACTCATCGCCCTTTTTGGACTAGCTTTTATTTCATGTTCTAAATCGAGAAAGACGGAAATCAAAACAATCCAAATTAAAAAAAGAAAAGTGAAACTTTATATCGCTTAGTACGGAGATAATAATAATAAAAAAATTACGTATCACTCCTCTGGCCAATTCAATTGTATCGAACGATCAAAGTGGCGCACAAGGAATAACTTCCAATATTTGTCGTAATCATTTTTAGACGTATTGTATGTCAAAAGGGAGGCAATCATTTCACCGACAAATATTTACCAGCATTATTTCGAATTTATCCTTTTTTAGTAGTTAATTGTCGGTGAAATGTACTGTCGGTGAAATGATTGTCAATGAAATAATACGGATCCAGAAAATTACAAGAGTAGACGTGGAATTTTGCGTTCTTTATTTGTTTACACCTACGATTGAACGCTAAAGGTGTAAGAGTAGACGTGGGGATGTGGGTTGTAATATAGTTTTATTGCGAGAGTGTTATTGTAGCTGGAGTAGACAGGCAAAATTATTCGAGGGCATACGGATACCCATCTCTTTTGCACTTTGTGACTCGAGGTTGGGGATATAAAGTAGTGTGTACATATGCATAAGGGAAGGTTTGAGGATCGCCCTTGTCGCATCGCGGTTAGAGTAGACATAGTAATATATTATATTCTTACTCAGAGAACAAGAAAGTCAAATACACCATCACAGTATCACGCGAAATTGGAGAACAAGTCATAAGGAAAGCCCAAGTGGATACACAATACATTTTAAATCTACTGTCAAACTCAGGCAATGTGTCATTTGAAAAGCTGAAATTGCCAGTCAATTTTCATCAGCTGCCATGCACAAGTGAAAGTGATCTCCAGGTGAAATTTTTCAATCACTGCCAGAACAGATGAAACCATGGGGAATTCGAGACACATCAGTTGAAGGCTATCTCAAGGATCCAATTGGCAAGATTGATTTTACAATAATTCAAGGAAACATGGTTTCATGGGTGCATGTTGTTTCTCTAATTGAAGTTAAGTCTACCTTGAATAGCAAAACCAGTCACTGTGAAGCACTTGGACAGCTCATAGACAGATTTACAACTATTTTTGACTTACAAAAAATTGACCATTCATTATTGGAGCTTTTTGTGGAGACTCAAAAGTTGAATTTATGTGGCAGAATCGAGAGAGGAACATCAAGTGATCAGACTTATTAGATCTGAGTTTTACCAGTCAAACAATAGGGATGGATATGCTTCTAAGCATGGTGACTGCATCACAAGTGCAAGATCATAAGGCAGCAGTTAGCTCTGTTAGTCATTTCAGTCCTGAGTCTGTCCTTTGACCAGCAGTCAATGAACAAGGATCTTTTGTCCTTAGTGGATTTATGAATGACAATCATGTTGTCCTCAAGGTTTGTGATATTGATCATGAAATAAACATACTTCATCATCTTCTACTTCATGAATATGATTTCATTCCCAAGGTTATCAAATTTGGAAACCTTCCTGAGAACAAAAAGTAGGCATTGACTTGTGCTCAGATTTTTATTGATATTAATTGTATATTAATATTTAATATTTAATAATGTAGATACATGGTAATGACACCTTTTGGTGAACATCTTGATGTTGGTAAACATGGCTGGCATGGAATTCTCAAAGCTTTTCAAGATGTTGCTGAAGCTATGAAGTTTGCCAGTAACTATGGCATCCTACATTGTGACATTTCATATGGAAATATTGTATTCCATGAACAACATAGCTATCTCATAGACTGGGGTGTTGCAGTAGTAGGATCACTAGAAGTGGAAGATGCCTTAACTGGTACCACACAGTTTCCTCTGTAAATATAAAGGTGTGTGATTCTTCAAGTTGCATTATGTATATATTGCTTGCAATCTTATACCTAATACTAATACCCTCTTCATTTTTCAGGTTACAACTAAATTGCATGAGAAAAAAAAAGTTCACTCACACACTTGATGATGACATTGAATCTCTCTTTTATACATTTCTATATGTAGCATGTGATGGTGTGCTCAAGTGGAAGAAAGGTCTAGGAAGCATGGATTCAGTTGCAGCAATAAAATTTACACAATATATTAATAGACATTGATGCAGTTATTAGGGTGTTTGACATTAAGTAGCTATTCAGCATGAGAGGAAAAAGGGAACAGAAGAGGGAAATGGACTAGTTACAACACTCTTTTAATCTTTATCATGTAAATCGTGATTTTTTTGCTTCTTCAGATGCAATGATACAACTTGCTGTCAATCTATTGCTTTTGATGCATCAGGTGAGTTTCTGCTAACAATTGTTACGACGAGTCGGTCTGATGAATCAGTCGATGAAGTCATGTGATAAAATCTTCCTCCGCAGTCAAAATACTACC